GCTGAAGAGAAGCTTTGCTACAATGAAATCTGGGATCGACTGGTGACCAACCGTCTGACCAATCAATATTTTACTATTATGTCCACCAGTCTGCCTGGACATCTTATTATCGCTGATTGTGGTCACCACAATCACCTGGTCATCTAGCATCACACTTGCTGGTTCACCACAACTAAATTACTGACTCTGAGAACCCTTCTAGGACATCCATGTCTTTCTATGTCGGCAGTACAAGCCATTGTCTATATCCTACATTCCAAATATCATACATCCATTTGTCTGCTGGCTTAAAGACTATCATATAAAAATTGATGAACAATAGATTTCATTTTATCAATCAGCATCTCAGAAAAAAGTCAATTACAACAAATGTACTAAATTTTTTCTAAAGATCAAAATTAAAAGTACTACAAGGAAACATTATCTTCCAGCAATGCCATCTTCTACTTTGTGCTTGAGGGATAATGAGTTAAATGTGGCCATACATAATATAAATATAGAAAGAGAAAACTTAAATAACATATGAAACAGGAAGTATAGAGCACACCAGGTGGCACCACCTGTCTGTAGAGGTGATTTAACCTATTTAGGTCCAGGATATAGATTTATTTACTCCACTGGAATATAATCACTTCAACATTTTATTGGCATGTGTACTGTCAGCGATTTCAGCACAAAAATAAACCAAAACCTCTGTTGCTCTCCATCAGTGTACCAGCAAAATGACATATAAGATACATTGGTGTGTCCCTCCCATTACCAAAGATCTTATCCTGTATGGAGAACAAGCTAACAAATGTGTAATCTTTGGGTAATGTTTCTGAATCATAAGCTGCTACCTACATTATGCAACATAAACCTTTACCAGAGATCTCATCCTGTACGGAGAGCAAGCTAACTAAAGTGTATCTTTGGTTAAGTGAAATGTCCTTGAATCATAAGCTGCCACCTACATTATGCAACATAAATCTAAGATATATCCAATGTTAACTATGATAAAGTACATATGAACCACTGCACTCTGTAAACTTGGCAAAGCTAGTCAATAATGCATTGAAAAAAGGCAAGATTTGTCGTGCTTAATTTTTCAAGTAGCTACAAAGAAAAATTTCATAATTTTCATTACTCTCCTATAAAATTAATGATGGATATAAATTTTTGTTAATTTTTCAAGAGAATTGAAAAATTTCATAATTTTCATTACTCTCCTATAAAATTAATGATGGATATAAATTTTTGTTAGAGAATTGAAATATCGCGTAATTTATCACCATATCATATATATTCTTCCATTTACTTCTGATTCATCAATTATGTATTAATGGTGTAAGTATTTATATACTGACTGTGTGTGTTGTGTTTGTTAATAATGATTTAGTGATGCTGGCACTGAAGCAAGAAAGCATGGTTTATTTTATATGGTTAAAAATGTCTCCAAAATTTTATTTTAAATTGAACTGTCCTGATGGTATGTACATCAGTAAGATGGCCATATGACAATCTACAGGCTTTCCCCAACCATGTCACAATTTTCGGTACCTCCTGCAGTCCTTGACAAATTGCTGACACTAAAATCACCTTTTTCCCCACAATGACTGGGCTTAACTGAGCAGTAAGCACTTGTATAGCCTTTCCAATACAATGCTAGAACCCTTTATAGCTTGTAAACCTTCTCACATTAGTAGCTTTCAATGAACATTTCCACATAATGACAGAACCATTAAAAGTTTGTAAACCTTCATATACAATGACTTAACCATCACTTCCTTGTAGACGTTCCCAAACAATGACATAACCATTTTATGGCTAAAGATTATTCCACACAATGATAGAATCACCAGTAGTTTGTAGACTTTCCCGAAGAATGACAGAACCATTTACAGTTTGTAAACCTTCCCACACAATGACAGAACCATTTACAGTTTGTAAACCTTCCCACACAATGACAGAACCTTTTACAGTATGCAGACCTTCCCACACAAGTTTGACACACAATAACAGAACCATTTACAGTTTGTAGACCTTCCCACACAATGACAGAACCATTTACAGTATGCAGACCTTCCCACACAATGACAGAACCATTTACAGTTTGTAAACCTTCCCACACAATGATAAAACCATTTACAGTTTGTAGACCTTCCCACACAATAACAGAACCATTTACAGTATGCAGACCTTCCCACACAATGACAGAACCATTTACAGTATGTAGACCTTCCCACACAATGACAGAACCATTTACAGTTTGTAGACCTTCCCACACAATGACAGAAGTGTTAGTTTGTAGACCTTCCCACACAATGACAGAACCATTTACAGTTTGTAGACCTTCCCACACAATGACAGAACCATTTACAGTTTGTAGACCTTCCCACACAATGACAGAACCATTTACAGTTTGTAGACCTTCCCGAACAATGATAAAACCATTTACAGTTTGTAGACCTTCCCACACAATGATAAAACCATTTACAGTTTGTAGACCTTCCCACACAATGACAGTAGTGTTAGTTTGTAGACCTTCCCACACAATGACAGAACCATTTACAGTTTGTAGACCTTCCCACACAATGACAGAACCATTTACAGTTTGTAGACCTTCCCACACAATGACAGAACCACACAATTTACAGTTTGTAGACCTTCAGAACCATTTACAGTATGCACACAATGACAGAACCATTTACAGTTTGTAGACCTTCCCACACAATGACAGAACTATTTACAGTTTGTAGACCTTCCCACACAATGACAGAAGTGATAGTTTGTAGACCTTCCCACACAATGACAGAACTATTTACAGTTTGTAAACCTTCCCACACAATAACAGAACCATTTACAGTTTGTAGACCTTCCCACACAATGACAGAAGTGTTTTTACATATGGTATATCTAGGAAATTCTGATTAAGCTATTTAATAACCATTAACACTTCAAGACAGGATTGATAATAGTTGACCAAGCTCAGAAAAAAGTGATAATAACCATCTGTCACAGTTCATTTACATCTATGTAAACATGACTGATCCCTGATAAATGATCAATTTATTGATATCATCATTTAAATAGCCTACTTACACTACAAAATACTACCAATGTAAATAATTGTGTGAACAAGTCTGGATTGCAGCCCTGTGGACACAGGTCAGACAGTCTGTGACACATGTTATTTATAGTAGAAATAATAACTAGGTTAAGCAATATGACTCTATCAGTTCAACATCCCCATTATGTTATCAAAAATTATACATGCAATTACCTTTTCTTATGCTAATAGTTAGAAATACAATACTAGATTAACAAATATCACACATACTTATCAATAAATTCTTAAAATCGACTCAAAATATTTTACAGTACCTGCTTCAGTATGACTATAAACTAAATATGAAGTGAATAGAACAAGCCCTAAAGATTGAAGTCATTTCTCAAAAATTGTTGTTTTTGTCCAAAAAATGCACCAAAATCTAAAATTCAAGAAATGTATTTGTTCAGGCTATCCAGCTCCTCAGCATCCCTTAAAGTTTCTGAATTGTAAAATTTGAAAGATGATTTGTAAATGGTGGATGTGTTGGGATGTCCACTAAATGGAATCAAATTATATACCAAGTTGGTTAATATCGGACATTTATTACTTGACCTATCAAAATGCAAAACAACTTAAAGTGAACATCAGACAACACCTTGTCACTGCCAGAAAAGTAACACCATAGTCTTGCTTCTGCAACTTTAAAGCACAGGGGAAATTTTACAAAGTCTTGTAACACCGAAATCGAATGAGTCAGACAGAACAGCAAACATTCTTTTGATAGGTGAAATGCAAACGTTTTTAGTATGTAGGAAATTGGTGTTACAGCAGAAGTAGGGCATTATTTGATCAAAAACATATTCCAGTGTAATACCATAGACATGCATTTTGATATCCTTTGTTACTGATATTTGTCGTTAAAGTGGAGCACTCAATATGACATTCTGTAGACTATTTTCCTGTGTGATATTTTTTGTGACGGCGTAGTTTATGTGCTTTGGTTTTATCATCAGTAATATAAACATTTTTTCTGTTGCTTGGGTACTTCTTTTTAGTTTAACTCTTAAAAGTTTGGGGCAAAATTCAACACAATCTCGCGTAAATCATAGACAGGAAATACATGAATGCTGATTAGGTCAATCATTTTTCTTGAAATTTCCGGGCCCAAAAATAAATATTGCACTTGTTCTCGAATTTTCAGAAAAAAATTGACATAAGGGTGAAAAATTACAAGTAGTAAAGCAAAAAGCATTCAGTCTTCAAAATTAAATTTCAGAACACTGTCAAATAAACGATTTAAGCAATTTTTCCAAATTTACCTATTTTGGTCGTTATGGAGATTTGCAGCTTATTTTTTATTTTTTGCTTATTATCCCAGTACCATTCTTTTGCATCATAATGAGAAAAGAACTTTGCTGGAAATAATGCCTTGAAAATAACCAAGAATACTTATTATTCATGAATAAGAAAAAATATTTCCTACATCATATGTTCTGATGCCAGTAGCAGTAAAAGAAGTGCAGCAACATATTGTGTTTTCTTTTAAAATACTTTCTTTCATCTAAATTTTCAAAACTTCTCAAAAAATTACCACCAGAACAAAATTGAATTTTAAAAAGTTGGGGCATTTGCGTTTCATACCTCCTAGAGTTTTTGTTCAATATTCTTTCTATAAGCCTACGGGGCAAACACATTTCATTTGAATCCTGGTCAGTTTATGGACTTACCAAATATCAGACATAAATATGGATGGAATTATAACCCTTGGCATGGGCTTCTCATTGGATAAATACGATAAATAACAAATACTGGAATAGCATCCATTCAATCCAATTCATTTGCTCAAGCTTCAAGGTTAGAGTTGATAATGTACAGGCTGCAACTGAAATTGCTTTTCTCAAGTTTGATAATGACTGCATTCTTCTGAAAAATAATTCATAGAAATAAATGAAATAAGAATGGTACTTACCAATGCCAAATTGACTTCATTGGAGTCTGCTTCTGGATAGGGAGTGTAAATAGCTAATGCCACACAGTTGGCAAAAATTGTCAGCAGAATCAAGTATTCAAAAGGCGTGCATATGGGTTAAGGAAAATTTTCAATACATCACTAAATTTCATCATTGTGATTCAAAACTGGAGAAAAATTTGAATAAATTTGACATTCATGGGAAAAAGATCTTCTGATTCTTGTATTTTTTCAATTAAATATAAAGAATTTGAGATAGTAACTGTAACAAGAGAAGACAAGAATATGAGCTATCCTAAAATGAAAAGGAAACAATATATGTAGAAATTTTGAATTATTAGAGTAATGATACTGGTGATACAGACTGTAAAGGATTATTCAGTTGTCTTCACATAAAGCAATACAAATTATACTTAAATTGGTTCGAGAAATATGTACAGCCATCTTAAAATGTAGGTTATTTACACCTATTACTTAATAAGTGGCTTTTCACGCTACAATGGTTATCCAAAACTGATGACACAGTGAATTAAATCAGGCAATGGTCTAAACCTTTTTGGTATACAACTGCATACAAATGACAACAACAAAGGAGTGACATTGCTCAGAGGACCTGGCCCAGTTTCCAGATTGTAAATTAAAGGGGTATAGTTATATAGACAGAAAAATTGACATACTTCAGATTCCTTCAAGTACATCAAAAAATGCTTACTGACTTGGGAACAGTTTGCATCTTTCCTCCGGTCTTTGAAAAAGACAGACCTTGTGGAGTGCAATAAGAGAAAAGCAATGGCATTTAGCATATCTATCCTCATCAGTAATAAACTGCCTTTTTCAAAGTGATTTTTTAATATTTATAATTTTTATCTTCTTTCAGACAGTTACAATGTGGAGCTTAGTTATGCATCATAAATTTTGAATACAGCCCCATCAGTTATGACCGAGCAGTTATACATACTGCACCAATTGAATAAAATCCCAATGCACAACATTATCCTACATTTCATACCACCATGTTAAGGATTGTTATTTATATGTAGTATAATCTTAGTGATCATATCTCTGTTTTCATGTCTACATACGCTTTGTTGGTAATTCTGCTGCTGCAATAGATATGAGTAGCTTATGAAAATGGATGAATATTGGAGAACTCTGATTTTGCCCTGTCATCAAATCAACATTACTTAGTAATAGGAGCAAGTGATCACACTGTGAAAAGCTCCAGACTGTTTGTTTAGTTTTTCATCCTCCAAACGACAAGTCATATGAAGTGTAAAGCCTGGAGTCGCAAGTTATCAATTTAGAGTTATATATCGATGTCATATTCTAGTGCCTGCTAGGTCAATTATATTATTTTAAACATTGGTTGAGATTTCAAATGTGCCTTCTTGATAAATAATCATTTGTGTCTGGTACATGTATTAGGTTGTTTATGAACAACGAACACACACAAGGTAATAATATAACTTGACACAAATTACATCTCCAGCCTAGCAATAAAGTACAATTATACCCTCAGCTACTTCTATCTTTATAAATGTCAAAACTCTAATCAAGACCAATTTTGTGAATGAAAAAAAGGGTCGACTTGTTTTCTACAGCCCTGATTATAATTATTGATCAAGTGGAGAGAATCACTTGTTGATGTTAGCATCACATGCCCACACAGTCTCCAATAGCAGGTCAATGGATTGCCGACAAACACTACCCAGTTCTGCTCACACATATATATATAATGTCGCTGTCATTAGAATAAGTGAGAGTCTGTGTTTGGCATGACAAATCACCATAGACTGTTCAGCAGTGAAAGTCAGAGGCCAATCTAGTAATATGTAACATTAACTGTAAGGTAACCTGTGTACATTAGTCAGAATGCTTCATTATGGCATATAAAAGGATTGAATACAGTTATCTATTATCCTATATTCCTAATTTGGAGTGGGGACTGTCTGTATCTCTAACCATTGCCATTCTTTGTCCTATACCTCTAACCAGGAGTAGGGGCTGTTGTTCCCTCTATCCAGTACCATCCCCTGTCCTATACCTCTAACCAGGAGTAGGGGCTGTTGTTCCCTCTAACCATTGCCATTCTTTGTCCTATACCTCTAACCAGGAGTAGGGGCTGTTGTTCCCTCTATCCAGTACCATCCCCTGTCCTATACCTCTAACCAGGAGTAGGGGCTGTTGTTCCCTCTAACCAGAACCATCCCCTGTCCTATACCCCTAACCAGGAGTAGGGGCTGTTGTTCCCTCTAACCAGCACCATCCCCTGTCCTATATCTCTAACCAGGAGTAGGGGCTGTTGTTCTCTCTAACCAGCACCATCCCTGGTCCTATACCTCTAACCAGGAGTAGGGGCTGTTGTTCCCTCTAACCCCTGTCCTATACCTCTAACCAGGAGTAGGGGCTGTTGTTCCCTCTATCCAGTATCATCCCCTGTCCTATACCCCTAACCAGGGGGCTGTTGTTCCCTCTATCCAGTACCATCCCCTGTCCTATACCTCTAACCAGGAGTAGGGGCTGATGTTCCCTCTAACCAGAACCATCCACTGTCCTATATCTCTAACCAGGAGTAGGGGCTGTTGTTCCCTCTAACCAGTACCATCCCCTGTCCTATACCTCTAACCAGGAGTAGGGGCTGTCGTTCCCTCTTACCAGTACCATCCCCTGTCCTATACCTCTAACCAGGAGTAGGGGCTGTTGCTCCCTCTAACCAGTACCATCCCCTGTCCTATACCTCTAACCAGGAGTAGGGGCTGTTGTTCCCTATAACCAGTACCATCCCCTGTCCTATACCTCTAACCAGGAGTAGGGGCTGTTGTTCCCTCTAACCAGCAACATCCCCTGTCCTATACCTCTAACCAGGAGTAGGGGCTGTTGTTCCCTCTAACCAGCACCATCCCCTGTCCTATACCTCTAACCAGGAGTAGGGGCTGTTGTTCCCTCTAACCAGAACCATCCCCGGTCCTATACCCCTAACCAGGATTAGGGGCTGTTGTTCCCTCTAACTAGTATCATTCCCTGTCCTCTATCTCTAACCTGAAGTGGACTGTTCCTTCTTTTTAAGAATGCATTATTCTGTTTTTTTATGAACTTAGAATTCTGTTTTAATATTGGATATTTGTATAAAGGTGTTGCATTGCAGAAATTTACAATAACTGACGGAAAACAATAGAATAATTTGCCGACTAGAAATGTAAAAACAAAACAAAAAAATGAAAAATGATCACTAAAGCTGATAAGCAATTACTGAGACATAGATGCAGGTAACAATACCTCAAGCTCCATTTTCTTGATACCAATTAGAATAATTCTACAGGTACCTGCAGCATTAATTACAAGTATGCATACCAAGTGAACTGTTAACCTTTACATTACCAATCCATAAATGTTTATTGATGCAAATAGTCAATAGCTGAGGCTGGCTTTACTTCATATACAGTACTAACTAATTGTCCTCTGACCTCTATTACAGACATGGATCTGATCACACACTACAGCTAGACCAATATCTACATATGACCTCCATTACAGACACACTATAAGGAGACCTGAGAGAACCAATACCTACAAATCCTGTACACCATTTGCCTTATCACAGATGGTTCAACAGCCATCACATATAACTGCCATCAAGGCAAAACATGAATATCACCATGGTAATGTTACCAGCAGGCTACACTGGGTCATAATCTGGCCACCGTCTATTCTTTCTATTACAAAACCATTGATAAGATTCAGCCACAAATTCATTCACTATTGTCTAGACATTTCCAACTTGGTTGTGATGGTCACTAGAGAAGGCAAATGAGCAAGGTGGCAAATCCTATCTGTAAAATTAGTATATAAGATTTGGTAGTCAGCACTTGTTGATGTATCAAGCAGGTATTAAAAATGACCACAACTGAACACCTTACATTTAACCAATATTATTATTTTCAGTGTATTCTTGTTTTTCCCTAAATGCTTGGTTTGACTCAACATGAAATATTGGGTTACCAATTCCCTTCTTACATGTTGAAAACTTTGCTATAGTTTCAAGTAGTGAATTTCAAATATTCTGTTTTGCTATATATTGACTTTTCCACTAGGTGAAACTGAAAAGCAAAACCAAACCAAAATGAAACATAAAGACAATATGTATAGACATGAACGACAGCACTTGGTCCTCAAACTGAAATTTCGCACAAAGCTGCCTGGTATTGCTTTCATCCTAATCACAGAAAGCATGGATGAAATTCCCTGTGAAATAATCCCATAAATTATGCATGACGTTTTCAGAAAAAGGATATCTCCATTCCACAACTCTAATACATAGCTTTCGTATAGGATTTTGTAAGTTCAAACAGAACAAAGCACGTTGCGGTCTGACATTTTGGTTCTGCTGTTTGCGTGCGTTGGCGCGTTTGCGGGTCATTGTGGCAGCGGCTGTTGTGGCAGCACCGAGTGCCACGTTCCAGGCAGGGCTAAGTGGCTTCTTGTCGCCTGGTAGGGGGGTGATCTGAGTGACTCCACTCCCCAAACTCTTTGGTGTGGTGGGCGAGGCTGGCTGTAGCGGGCCCGACCCTGGCCCCTGTCCCAAACCTTGGCCCCCAGCGTGCAATTCCTGTGGCTGATTCTGTGGCAGACTTGGCAGAGCTGGGTTACTGTGGTCCCGCTCATAATTCCCTCCTGAAACATACAAGAAACATTTTCAGTATTTCTAAAACCATTTCTGTCCATGTTACATTATATATTTAGCTTCTTCAAGTCTCAATTAGCAAATGAAAAAGTTCCCTGATTACATCAAACAATCAATTTCTAAAGTTGGACAGTAACAAATTAGAATTATGAGTGAAAAAGGTTACAGGACCCATGCATTCATATATGCCACTTCAGCTCTCAAAGTAGTGATTGTAAATTGATGAAAATAGTGTATTGCAAAAGCACCCATTATCTTGATTGTTGGTGACAGAATGATATGTGTATATTTCATAAAGAGAATCTATTGTGCTGTGGCCTAGCTGTACATCAAAAGAAGCTGTGTATGAGCGGTATTGTGTAAAAAGTAGCCATCTAATTGCATTGTCAATTTACAGAATATAGTGACCTTTACTCTGACCTTCAGACCTGTAAAGCAATCTTTGAGGAACACAATCTACGTTTTATGGCAAAATAGCAAATAAGAGCTAAGCAATAGAAGCCATTTAATATTTCACAAATTGCTACAAGTGTAATAGAGGAATCTGGTCTCTTCATTGCCATCTAATTAAAGTACAATGAAGATGACACACCAGAAAACCGTATATTCTGAAGAGTTACCCTCACCTTTCTTACTCAATGGAATGTAATAAATCAATTCTTTGACCTTGATGAACATGAAGGGGATCTTACCTCACACAAATCAAAAGATGTGTTTGTAAGGCTTTGGTGGCGGTAAGGCCAAAGGTTTGATATCATTTTCCATTTCTTTTTTGAGCATCGTATTGGAAGATTGTTTTGTCAAGCTCACGTAATATAAACTATTGCAGACATCAAGTATCTAGGGCATAAATATTTAAAGTTTAGATTTAATCTTGAAGAGTAAAGTAACTTTCTGAATAAAGTCATATAGCATAAAACCTGAAAAATAGATGCAATATCAAGCTCTGTAACAGGTTCACTGCATCAGTTTTGCATTGATGCTGGTCACATGACTGTAACCATACATATTGTGTAAACGATGTACTGTGTTTTCATTCCTGTACCCTATTTCCAGTTAGTCCGTTAAACATGTACAGGGTACTCATGATGAATACCACATAAACAGCTCAAGTAAGGCTTGCAACAGCAGTGAACACACTGTTGTATATAGTCCTACTGTGTATGTATCTAGATAAATTCTAACATAAAACCAGATATTTATCAAGATCTTGTTTCATATTACATATAAACAGGTACATCTCCTTGTAGGCTAGGCAATAACAATAGCATTGCTCAGTCGATAAATTTCAAGCACATAAAACATCAAATGACAAGCTGCCTTTTCATCACCAGTATCACAGTAATATAAGAGTAATAATATATGTTATCCTGTAACTTGTGTGAGCTATAAATATTCAAAGTTTGAAAAGCTGTATTCATAAAGTATATAGTCCCATTAAAATTGAGTTAATGGTTTCATATACATATTGTCCGGTATCTGTCTCACCCTGGTCTGAGATGTCCAACTGAACAAACCAAGTATACTTTCCATTTGATTGAGATGGAAGTTTCAAGAACACTATTACTAACATTTTTTTCCCCCAATTAATATACCTTCTAAATACATTTTACTACCAGAATGAACAATGTTGGGTCAAAACACACTATTTTGGATAGTGTTATGAATATTTTCTTGGTCTATTTTAAGTAACACAGACCTTGAACATAAGGACCTGTCATGTAAATTTCCACAATCTGCATTGCAATCTAACGTTCAGACTTGCATGTTTATGAATGATATTCCTCCAAATTTCTTCAAAACCTTTTCCGAGTAAAATACTGTATTTTACCAATGACATAAGCTTATTGGTACAAAACCTGTTGTTCTTATAGATAATGACTACACTGTGATCATGATCTAAAATTTTCATATCCCTTTTTTTGACAAACACCTTCCAACAATATATTTCAAACTGAACATTGTTTAAAATGATTTTGTATTGGTATATAAAATATACATTAACTAAGGTCACCAAAACCATGCACAGAGGGCTCATGTCTCAGTGTTCTTGGATGGGGGTCTTAATGAGTACAAAAACTGGAACATGCATAGAAAAATCCTCGTTGTAGGGTGACCAAGTATCTACTCACAAATCATTATCATGGATAATCAACCGCTGCCACACAGGTGAAGGGCATGTGTGGTATCAATTATTTCTGTTCATCCAAAGATATACCTGGCCCCCTCTCCCTCCCCCCTTCCCTACACACACTCACAATGGTCCATTAGAAAATCAGGAAGACTACCTTTAATCCTTCAATTTATCAAAGCAGATGTCTGGATCAGCACCAACATAAATAAATGATACTTATGTTTCCAGAGCCATCACTTTTTTCTTTAAAATCAAAAAAATAAAAGTAGCATCTGCAATACAATGTGGCAAATTTGTGTAAAATTACGGTAATCTCATAAAATATGACTTATGAACAAAGTCATTGTTTCTGAATTCATATATAGCATTTTATTGGCTTATCAATGGATAACAATGACTGACAATTGCTAATTATAAATTATAGATAATTATATTAAAATCAACATGGTTTGTCAACAACGGGCAAAGAAAGCACTATTTTCTTTTTACCTTTAGTCGACAACAGTACAGAAAGAATTAAACTACATTAGCAACAACCAAACTAATTACAAATCTAGCTGTTTTATACTGATATTTCAACACTATACAGAAGCGATATTGCGCAATGTGATGTTTTGGAATTTTCCTAACAAGATATTGCACAATTAAGTCTTGCAGTTTTCTTCATAAGGTAGCATTACACAATCTTGTAAAAAGATTACCCAAGGGAATAAAACAATAAACATTATTGTACATCTATCTGATCAAATATCCTTTTCATCTTGGTAACACATAGTATAACTTCAGTATGCATATTTAATGCTGTCAATATACAACCATAACAAAAGACCTCAAAAAATTCTGAAATGGGTCAGTCAGTCAGCCCTGGTGGTCCCCATCCAGTATCGCAGCCATACCCTAGCCACCCTACCTAGCTTGCGGGTGGTTTTAAATACAACTCAACAATTCTTCAGTGTTGAGTAAAGAAGTACCAATGTACACCTGGAGGGTATACAGTCCCCCTTGCCCTTCAGTGAGAGGGGGAGGCAACCCTATTCAGTCTAAAGGACCAGTTTGGTAAGTTATGGGGTCTTTCCAAACCAGCTGGACCTTGCACATTCCTTAGAGGGTTTGAGGATAAATCTATAGGGATGTGGAATCCTAAGTTTTTAGCCTTTCCCTGGCAGTTCGTTCATCGAGCAATGTTCTTGTGCTGAGTATTGTGGTCAACCCTTACCCTTCACTGTCTGTTGTGATGGACAATGGTGACATGATGGCAGATATGAATGTTGAAGGAGTGGGTGAGACAACAGATGATTTCTTCCCTGGTTTTTTCTGTCTTTGTGATGGACAATGGTGACATAAAGGCAGATATGAAAGTTGAAGGAGTGGGTGAGACAACAGATGATTTTTTCCTTGGATTTTTCTGTCTTTGTGATGGATAATGGTGACATGATGGCAGATATGAATGTTGAAGGAGTGGGTGAGACTGCAGATGATTACACTCCTGCTTTCAAAGACATTGATTCTTGTTGTGATGAGCTGTCTTCTGATCAATCTCAGGACGATACATATTCCAAGGAGTGCTTTCCAAGAAGCCAAGAGAGCAGTTTTATTTATCTGGGATGTGTACCCTTGCTTAGGGATGTGGTTCACCAGATTCTTTGTGGGTGGGGGTTGTTGGGGGGGGGGGGGGGGGGGGGGGGGGTAAGGGGAATCATTATCTATATACAACTGACTGTAAAACCTAACCTTGGACCTATCTATACTACTAATCATTCACAAATGTGTATCACACAGCAGACAAGTGAACCTGCCCACATATATTGTCTAATTGGAGATGGCTTGGATGGTTAATCGAGCCATGAAAGAATGATCATAGCACTTCTGCTTAAACCTGAATATATTCACATACTAAACACTTATAGTATGGTTTATGCTTGTGTTTCAAACTTGTAAGTTCATTTAACAAATATATTACATACATTCTTGGATGTTTCAGGTATCAAACCTGAAGATATTTCCCAACAAGGATTTACCTTAACTGCCGATTCCTATGCTTGGCTTGTACAAGTGGATTTATTTGCATAGGTTAGCTCCATTAGCTTCACACAAACTATTATTGGTAATTGGAATTCTACTACTTTCTCTTTCTGCGTGATGTTTGATCATGAATTGTACTAAAAGTATAGTTGTTTTGAACTAAAAACAATGTATCAAAACCTGGAAATGAATCTTGCAATACTTTTTTTATACATCATTTTCTTCTATCTTGAAAAAAACAGTCGCTAAGGTAACCATGCTTGTTACAACAGAATCTGGCGCTGACTGACATCACACTCCTTAGGATAGACCTTTGGCACACGCACAGCCTCCTCTCACCATAGACCTCTTCAGGATCTACACTCCAAACTACTCCTTACCATCAGTGTTATTGTATTACACACATTACAACCATAATTTACCTGCTCACCCCACCTTACAATAGTGGCATAGACATTCTGTTGATCGGGAACCTTTAATTGCAGTTCATTGGGGTGAACAGCTTAATTTGGAAAAGTAGTCCACAAACATAGATAGCATTTGTAAGTTATTAGGTAACCAAACTGATTCCATGTACAACCCACACAGACATACTATATAGCACCATGACTAAATCTAACCATCCTGTTAAAATCTGACAGCAGGTACACAGTCATCCCATCCTA